ACAGTGACCCCTGTGGGCAATGTAAGGATCTGCATCTACAGTCTCCAGGATTAGACCTTGGCCACAGTACAGAGCCTGGAAGCTGGAGAGCTGCGAAACACAGGGGATCCCCCAACTGGAGCCAAGGGCCCTCTGCTCCCTGCAGAGAGGATGGCAGGGAAGGGAAAAGCAGCTGACAAATAAATGGCGGATGATGACACAGGAACAGTTTCCCTAGTTCCCCCCAATTCCACTCCCCCCCACCACCCATGGTTCCTCTATTGTGATTCGTTTCCTTTGGCTGATCCCAAAATAGGAGTCGCATGTGGCGTTGATCCAGCTACTGTGCATGCTCCATCCTCCAGTGTTTGGCATTGCAGTCCCTTCCTTGGCCGCCCCCGCACGCTGACCTCCTGGGGCCCTGCGGCTGTGCGGCGTGCGTGCAGACCTGCCTGCCTTCTCTCTGCATTGCACGGTGTCCTGTAGAGCTCCAGGAGACACGTGCCTTCCCCAGCTTTCCAGAGGAGGCTGTGTTTGTGCCAGTACTAGGGATGTAGAATTCCATTTAATTGATTAACCAATTAAAGGGGGAGTGCTCCACCCCCGTGGTAGTGGGCAGGGGAATCTGCCAGTCCTATGCGGGGCTGCTGCTTCTGAGCCCCACATGGACGGGGAGTCAGGAGCCCTATGAGGGGGCCTGGCAGAGCTGGAGCATCCCTCCGCCCGCAGCTGGCCGCTCCTGGGTACCGGTGAACTGTTACCCAGTAAGCATCACCGGTTAAGGGTGATGCTAACCAAGTAACAGGCTACCTGTTTGCATCCTTAGCTTAATTTGTGCCAGGGCTATGTCCTGGCACCTCTGGGCTTGCTGCATCAGTTGTGAAAGGTAAAAAATTGCTTTAGCTGCTTCACCTATTTGCAGAAACCCCCGCACCTCTTTCTTCGCAAATCAAACACTGGCCAGAGGGCTAACCTCTTCCTGGTGGGGGAGGTAATGTTGTTGTTCCAGCTTTCTGGGTGACTCCCTGTCACTAGCTCTGCAGTTTATTTGGCTGCTCAAAGGAGGTGGGTGAAGAGGTCTGGGGCCATGTGTTGGGTCTGTTGCCCTTTGCTACAGAGTGATCTGACTCTCGTGCTCTGCCCTGCAAACAGAAATGCATCCCCCCCACAGCTTAGACAGCTCCCAGGTTAGCACCGCTTTGGGGCTGGTGCTCAAAGGTGCCTGCAAACGAGACATCCGGGCTTCCCTTCTGGGTTCCTGGCAGATACGAGCCATCTCTCCACTTGGCTGCTCTGTGGGCGTCTGTGCATGGTGTCCTCCAGACCAAGAGGGTCTCCTTGCTTAGCAGTCTCATCACACTCAGCAGTAAAACGATACCAGACTGTGCTCTGGCAATTCCCGCTTGTGGTGTTCACGATGCCTGCCTGTGCCATCTCTCTCTCCTCTAGGGTTGCCATCCAGCCTAGTTTCTCCCCTGTTGGGGATCTCCTAGATTTCATTGGGAGGTTTGATTCATCGCTTGGCAGCGACTCTGCATCACCCGAAGGACTAACGCTGAATAGTGGCTATTTTGCTTCTTTTTGGCCGAGGCATATTGGTTGTTCCTGGAGTTATAGGCCCAGCCTTGCAAGCCTTTCCCTGTGCAGGACTTACATTGACCTTAACCAGGAGCATGGTGCATGGCTGGCTTGCTGATGCCTCACCAGCTGTTGGTACAGGCTCTGGGCTCGTAGGTCCAAGCTATCCCAACCTGTTTCCCTAGGCTGGGTCCTCCATCCGTCAGCCAGTCTAATTATCGTGTTAGGCCCTGGGCCACTGTCCCATTGGAGTTGGAAGCCCTGGTAATTGGCCTACTGAAGCCACTATATCAGGCATGGCCAAAGTCCGGCCCGCGGGCCAATTGCGGCCCGTGTTCCGGTTTAATACGGCCCCCCAGGTAATTTGGCAATATCTATCTTTTATGGCCCCCAACGAATCCATATGTATTGAGATGAATACATTGTAAAATCTCAGTTAATGTCAGTTGGTCTAAATCAGTTATAAATATATTTGGACACAACATGTATACTTGGTGTTATGTTCCTGTTCATATTTTTTGAACTTAAAAGTTGACAGACAACCTTTATTACCAATAATATGTAATGTACTTTACAATGTTCCTGACATATATTTCAGCTTCCTGGATTTTTTTTTTCATCTGGCCTTCAGATATGAAAGGCAGAGTGATTTAACACCTGTTTAGATTTGTCATCCATGTGACGAAATGAAAAGTATGCTGTTTGCAATAAACTTTGCATAAAATAGTTAATTTGCGTTTAATTTTAATGGTTCAAAGAATGTCAGGCAAAATGGTCGGCCCTCATGCATGTTCACTTCATAAAATCTGGCCCTCTTTGAGAAAAGTTTGGACACCCCTGCACTATAACCTGCCCTTCTATACTATTCCCCTGATAGCTCCATGGGGATGAAATTCAGTAGTGTAAGGTTATGCGCTTAGGGGCTGCCAACAAGAATTTTTACTATAACCTTGGGAATTATCAACTGGAAACAACAGCAGGAGAAAGACCTGAGTGTGTTTGGTCAGTCGCAGGATGATTGTGACCCACCTGTGTGTTATGACAGTGGAAAAGGCTAATGCAGTCCTGTGGTGTATCAGGGGATATTCTCCAGCGGACAGAGGGAAGCAGTAATACAACGCACTGGTGAGCCCTCATTTGGAAAGCTGCGTGCAGTCTGGTCTCCCATATTTAGGAAAGATGAATTGGTATTGGACAGAGAAGGGCTACTAGGAAGATCAGAAGATTGGTGAACCTACCATATGAGAGGAGTCTTCAATTGCTTGGCTTGTTCAGCCTAACCAAATGAAGGAAGCAGGGAGATATGATTGTTCTCAGGGATTTTTTAAATTAAAGGCCAATACTGGCACAAGAACAAATGGCTTTAACCCGGCCATCAACAAATTTAGGCTGGTAATTAGATGAAAGTTTCTAACCATCAGAGGAGTGAAGTTCTGGAACAGCCTTCCAAGGGGAGTAGCGGGGGCAAAAAAACTGGACTCGAGCGGCCGTATCGGGTCAAACGAAAGGTCCATCTAACCCAGTGGTCAGATTGCTAATCCCATGATTGCTATTAGCAAATCTCTCTGATGCAAGAGAGGAGACACAATTCAAGGAGGGCTGTGAATTATGGTAGAGGATTATTTTCCATGAGGAGTAACGGTAGTTCGAATTAGCCTAATTCAAACTACCTACTCTGTGCCGCGTGTAGCCACGGGCACGGAGTCCACACTAACGGAAATTTAAAAATGGCGGCGCCCAGCAAGATGCAAATGAAGCCCAGGATATTTAAATCCCGGGCTTCATTTGCAACTTCAAATGCCTACATTAACCACCCTAGTTCGAACTAGGGTGGTAGTGTAGACATACCCTTGATGGTTTGAATTTGAGTAAACGTTGGCTTCTCTGGAACTTGAAGCCTTTAAAATAAGGTGTGAGGACTTCTGGCCCTGGGCCTTTTAAAGGGATGAGTGGGGTTCTGTGGCATGTGATGTGCAGGAGATTCGACTGGATGATTGTGATGGTCTCTTCTGGCTTTCAAGTCTATGAGCAGCAACAGGTAATTCACCTCTAGGGACCAGTGCAATTCCTGTAATGCCCCCATCAATGACAATTAGCCAGAATGGTTAGGAATGGTGTCTCTAGCCTCTGTTTGTCAGAAGCTGGCAGTGGGCAACAGGGGAGGGATCACTTGATGATCCCCTGTTCTGTTCACTCTCTCTGGGGACATCTGGCATTGGCCATGGTCGGAAGACAGGACGCAGGACTCAGTGTGGCTGTTGTTATATTCTTATGTTCCTGTGATGGACAAGGAGGAGTACTGGCCAGCACCTGGTGGCTAGGGGGTTAAACTCAGGTAGCTAGCAAGGGTCTTGGCAGGGTGCCAGAAGAACCAATGGGGATACGGTGCTTTAATTTGAATTGTATAAAATACCTTGCCTGCTTTCTTTGTGTGGAAGAGTTAAACCAAGATCTGAGAGACACAGGATAATTTAAAACCAGGCAGGACTACCATGCCTCCTAGGAATTCGGGGCATGGGAGTGGGCTGAACCAGGAAGGGATCATGAGTAAATAAAGGGGAAAAATGTGTCTCTAGATGTGATCAGGGTATTTTTTTATTTTATTTTTGGTTGTGTGATTTAAACCTCTCTCTGTGAATCCACGCCTTTTCTCCCCCATTCACCATTTAAGTTACTGCCCAAAGGATATGATTCTTGTGTTTTTGATTTGTTCTTTCCTTGTTGCTCTATAACATCTAGCAACCAAGTATGCTTTCTCCAGTCTGTCTTCTTTTTTGTTAATAAAAATCACTTTGTAAGGTGTTGATTTGATTCCTGAAAAGTAACAGGGGTCTGTGTGTGTATTTGTCTGCTTGAGACTGTGCGGTTAGCTACCAGAGACAGCAGCTTGGTTTTCTCCTTTCTTTTTTTCAAGCTCTTTGGAGCAAAGGAGCGTGGGGTACCCTGGGGGAGGCGTTCAAGTGTTCTTCCTTGGTTTTTTAGGGTAAATCACTTGATGGAGGCAGCTTTTGTTTTTTCTCAGAGCCAGGGCATCTGTGACTCTGGGAGTTTATTGAAGCAGAGCCTAGAGGCAAAGATATCTAGTGTCTTTGCGGGCCCCCGCCTTCCTCACTCCGAGTGCCAGAGTGGGATCAACCCTGACAGTTCCATACCTTGTTTCCAGCTTCAGGTGCTCACAGCATGGGCATCAAAGCTTGTATGGCTCAGGTCTCCTCTTTAACCTATCCTGAGGACTGTTCCTGGCTTTCTGCTGGGCAGGGCTGGATGCCCATCTGTTCTGTGCTTCATGCCAGCTTTTGGGGTATTTGGGGTGATTATTTCTTGTTTCCAGTGAAAATGTTCTGCTCTATGGCAGAGCACTGAGATTTGGGGGTTGGGCTCATCCGCCCATTAAAGCAGAGTTTCTAATTGTGTGTGTTGCTCTCCTTCCTCTGCTGAGCTAGGATTTCGGCGAAGGATTTGAAAAACATGCTGTCCCAGGTCAACTACCGAGTCCCAAACATGCGGTTCCTGCGGGAGAGATTGACGGTGAGTGCTCGGCCGTTACTCTGACGGGTCACAAGCTCTCTCCCCAAAGATCCAAAGACCAGTGGGTAACAAGGCGATAAAGGGCCGTTCTTTGGAGTCTGGACCCCCGGCAGGGTTTCCTGGTTTTATATAAGCGCCATTTTGCTATGCAGGGCTTCCCAGCCTGTTCTTACCCTCTTGCCAGGCATGAATTGGTGCCAAGTTCCAGTTCATGCCACTGTGTTTCTCGCTCCCCAGGGCCTGGCTGGGTTTGAATCTCCTAAGAGGACTGCTGCTCCCCTCCCCAGACTGTGCCTGGGAGCAGCAGTGCCGAATGGGTTGTGTTTAGTGCACTGGTCTCTGCCTTACAGACCCTCCTGGCACCCCCAGGGAACCCCATAGGGGAGGAGAACATGCCTGTGTCCTGCTCCAGCTTGTAAGATGTGGGGGAGGGCATGAGCAGCACTCTGCATCAGTGAGAGCGTTCACACCCCGAGCCTTCTGCAGGCAGATGCATCTGTGGGATCGAGCCTTGGTGATGCTTGCTGAAGGAAACCCCAACCTGGGTTCCTTGTGGGGCCCTGCGGCAGCCGGCCTGGCTGCAGCACGTACATGCAAAGGCCCAGTTGGACAAAGCGTTGGCCTTGCCCTGCTCTTGGCGGTTTGGTCCCAGCAGTAAGCGCAAGAAATGTTGGGCTGTCCAGGCTGTGAACAGTGTGGTCTCTCGGACCATTGCGGCGGCTGTAATATTTCTGTTCCTCTGGCTGCAGGACATGGAGCAGAGGAACGGGGATATAACGTACAGCCAGTTCGTCCAGCTTTACCGGAGCCTGATGTACGACGCCCAGAAAACGGTGAGAGGGCTCCAGTTCTTGGAGGGAGGAAGGCGCAGGGGAGAGGCAGAAACGTGCTGGCTGTGAGAGGAAATGGTTTGGAGTTGCAAAGGGAATGCGGTGACTGGAGTTACTGGCACTTCACACAAGCACATGAACTCCTCTGCCCAGGGCATGTCTGTCCCACATGCTTCCACCCTTTTTGCCCTCTCATCTTCGCTGTGGGGACATCCCTTTGCTTACCCTCCCTTGCCTTGCATCTTCCTACATGCCCTTGGCCACAGCTGCAACCACCTGAGCAGGCTGAGGAAATGTTTCCATGCCAGTGCCTACCCACCCCATGGCTGTTCCCCTCATTGGGGCTGCAGGATTCATGCGTTTGCGTGGCTGCTCTCCCCTTCCTACCATTTTTAATGCGATTGCCCCTCTGGCACCTCCTGCTGATGTTCCCCCGGCTTTCTGTCCAGCCACAGAGGGCGCTGGTTGCAACTAGCACAGACCCTGGGAGGTTGGGATTCTGGCCTGTCCCAGTGCACGGGGGAGAGGACAGAGGTGGCGGATAGACGAGCTTGCATGTTTTGTAGGCAAGCTGGCAATCACCCTCCCCCCTGCTCTGAGCGCTGCGTGAGTGATTGCCCTGGATTGCCAGCGCCCTGGCAAAGGTGGTGTCAGTGAATGAAGCATTCCATGGTGTAGCCCTCTCTGTCTGTAAGTGGTCAAGGTGCCACTCCATGGGACTGTGGGCGCTTGCACGGTTCTATTCCGATATGGGATGATCAGAGCATCCCTGGCCTTTCCAAAGCGGGGAGGTTGATAACTTACCACTTCAGTGCGATTAGCACATAGGTTCCTGCTCTCTCTCCTGCTGAGGAGATCTGAGCATTGGGGACTAGTTCATGGGCCTTAGCTGTGTTGGACACATGTTTAATAAAGCCGAACAGATCTTGGTGAGAGATCAGGTCCAGTGGTCCATTCAATTAAGTGCTTAGTTCCATTGTTAGGGTGGAGCAAAGAAGGCCATTGCTCTGCCATATCTCTCCTAAGATGGGAGGGGTAATAAAAGGGGGACCCTCATCCTTGCAGTGTCCCTGGCGGCCTGGTGCAGTGTTGCATTTGTGTTCCTGCCTCAGTTTCCCCTAATGGGCTTCCTTGAATCCAATGAGGATCGTGTATGTTGAACTGTGGCCCATCAGGGGGCCTAGTTTGTTTAACTTGGAGGTGGCACATTATAAAAATAGATCTCCACCCCAGCCTCTCTAGGTGGAGAGGAGAGGGGCTGTGTTAATGTTGGCCTCTAAACCCCACTTATATTCAGCTCCTTTATCAGCAAGGACATCGGCTGGGGAAGGGTCTTTCCTCATGTCAGGGTCTCACAGAGATCAAACTGGGGTTCCTCTACCTAGGAGGAGCCTGTCATCCTTCGGATCTGGCACTCCCTGGGGAGTGCTTCCATGGGGCCACCGAGAGACGGCATTCGTAGTGCTTCCCTTCAGAGCCTCTCCCGCCTAGCAGCATGAGTCCTTTCCCAGGTCGCCGCCTCCCCAGGGTCCCCCAGAAAAGCCTTCCCCTGTGAGAGCTTTCCCCCAGTGTTCCAGGGGATTGTTCCTGGCCCCGGGAGCCCTGCTCTCTAGCTCACCTTGACTGGCAGTAGCTGCCTTTTGTCAGGCCCAGGGGCTTTCCTGCCTAATTAATTGCCTTCCACTTACTAAATGAGTTAATTAGTCCCCGATGAGCCTGAGTTGCCTCCTTGCCATTGTGGAGCCTGTCTAAGGTAGCCTGAGCTTCTTGCCTCCTTCCTCCATCAGTATGCTGGTCCCCCACCACCTTACCCCTTGGATTTCAGGCCTGGGCCAAAATGGATGTAAAATGCTGCTAAGCCCCGATTCCCCACTGACTCACTTTAGGGATGGCTACGTGCTGCTGTAAATGGTGGCACGAGGTGCAGGAGAGCAGAGAACAGACCGAGCGATCCTGGGGCCAAAGGTGAGATGGGCCCAGGAAAGCAGGGAGCTCTCCCAAATTGGCAGAGGCCTGCTGCCCAGTGCAGGAAGGGTCCGGTACATGCAGGAGGAGAGGGGGAGCTTTCCCCTTGAGTAGCTTTGCTTAGCACAGACTTTAATCTGAAACACCGTGGACCTGAATTCAACCAGGGAAGGTCCGCAAGGGAGCTGAGGTTCCTGGCCAGGCAGGGTGCCACCTGCTGCATTTGGGGTCTGCTCTTGGGAAGGAGATGTGTCCATGGAAACAGAAAGGCTGACCTGTGTGTTTCTTCTGTTGCAGATAGAGCTCCCGTTCCTGGAAAGGTAAATGCCTCTCGCTTTGGGGCGCGGAAGGGTGGAGATCTCTTTCCTGGCGCTTTAAGAGCATGTGGGTGTCGGCAGCTCTGTGCCACGCTGTGCACACCGTGCTTGGCTCATGCATGACCGAAACCAGCATCTCTGCTGTAGAACCACTGGGCTCAGGAGGCTCCTGGGGAGCCTCTAGCCAGACACAGCCCAGCCCAGGTCAGTAGTGAACAGAAGTTGTCACCATCTGATGGCTGGGTTTTTGTGGTCTGTGAGAACTAAATTTGGTCTTGATCCAGTTCCTATGGGACACTTGCCTGCATCTCAAACGTTTTCCCCACAATTGGTGCTAACTGGCTGCAAAGTTTCTCATCAGAGAAGCCAAGGCCATTTGTAGGGCCTTTCGTTTTCATTTTTTATTTATATTTTTCCTGGGAATTTATCCCTGTTTGTTGCATTGAAATCAAAACCAAGTGCAAAAATTAAAATTTTTCTGGGTAAATATTGGGGTTTAATTCAGTGGACAGAAAGAAGAGGGAAAAGTGTTAAGTAGATTAATGCTTTGAATTCCAGTCATCAGTGTGGTTTGCTTCAGCACTAAAGCAGAACTCAAAACACAGCGCCACTTCTGAGTTAAGAAATAATCCCAAAATAAAACTTTTCATTTGAATACACAGTCTATTGTTGTCGACTTAGAATTGTTAGCCTTTTAATATTTGCATGGACCACACCATTTGCAGCACATATACTCAACTTCATCCTTTTCTCCCGATTTTGGTTTTTTTAAACTTTTTTGAATTATTTCCTTGTGTGCTGAAACATATTCTGAGACAGATTTTCATTTTCATGTGACATCTTTAAACCGTTCTCTGCTAAAAGCTTGAAGTGTGTATGTGGTGGGCACTAGAGTTGGATGCATGTGTTACTTCCCAGCTTGTGTGCATGCCTGTTTGTTTGTGTATATCTTCTAGACTTACACATAGCCTTACTTCAGCAGGCAGCTTTGCATATTCACACAAACTACCATACTATCATAACAATATAACTTGTGTAATGTATTTTCGTAATAAAACAAGGTCTTTTTTATATATTTGAATGATAGAAAAGTAGGCTGAAAATCAGAACAGAAGAATAGTGCTTTTTGTAAAACCTGGGAATTTTTGGTAAAGATCAGTTTAAACTGAACACAAAGGGTCTTAGCCATTGGTAGTAATGCCCCTCTCATCACATCCAGCTGGTGTTCAAGGTGCATTGACAAACTGTTCCCTCCTTTGCACGTCTGCCTCTGTGCTGTGGCTCACAGAAGTTCAATGCAATTGTGGAAGTTGGAAAGACCTGCTAGCTTAGCTCGTCACTCTCCTAGGAGCCAGGGCAGAATTTCTAATGTCTTGTCTACTCTAGTTCTGCTAGTTGCACACTCTGTTCTGATGCCTCTAGTATGTATCACTCAGAGGAAATTTTTGATAGTCAGCCATCTGTCTTTTCTTGACTTCGTCCCAGCATCCCTCATTCTGTCCCCTGCCTCTCCCTCCTTGGTGTCTGTAGCCTTCGTGTATTTATAGGCTTGTGCCATCCCTTGTCCTTAGTTTTCCCTGAGTTATGTTCTTATAATTTTTTCTTACAAGTCCATCCCTCTAGCTCCTTGATGCTTTCTACTGCCCTTCTCTGGACTGACTGTCTCTGGATACTGTATTTCTGGTAGCATGGTGCCCTGGGCCAGTGCCATGTCCAGGTGCAGGCAGCTCAGGCTGTATAAAGGTCTCTTTGCTCCCTAACATGATTTCTTTGGTACGTGCTCCACCAAAAATGTCTATCTCTCTCCTTTGTGCTGGGCTGGGAGGTTGCAGTGTTGCTCTTTGGGGGATGTGGTGTGTTGCTTGCATGGGCCATTGTGATTTGTCATGGCTTCCTGTCTGCTGTGGAGCCCAGAGACCATTCGGCAAAGTGATGGGATCACTGATTGTGGATTCTCTGTGTCCTTCTGCCAGGTGTGGCGAGAGATTTGAGCACTCCAAGATCTCTCTGCTGGAGTTCCAGAAGTTCTTACTGGAGTATCAGATGGTGAGCTCCCCAAAGGGCAAGGGAGGGAGGAGAAAGGGGATTCAACTATCCTCTGATATGAGCCATCTGTAGGGAGCCTGTGTCCAAAGGGTGACTCTGATCTAGCGGCTCTGAGCCTGTGGATAATGATGCATGCTGCCCTTGAGGTAGCCCTGAGAGAACAATGCTTCCTGTCAGGAACAGTGGCTGGTTAAAGAAGAGCATTTTGACCATCTCAGAAAGGCATCTCATCCAGCCATTCATATCTAGGAGCAGGGGAAAGCAGTGAGGGGAGATCCCATGTTTTTTTACTGGGAATACAGAGGTTCTACGAAGGTAAGGAGAAAGGGCCAGTCCCGTAGGCAGGTCATGACTGTAAGATCAGTCAAAAGGTGAAGGTAGCAGAAGCACCTTCCCCTGATAGCTGTTGTGACTGCCACCTGCGTAGGAAAGACCACTGATTGATCTTGTCACTGACTTTTCTTTTTAAAGTGCAACGTCTCCAGCATTAAGCAAACGCGTGTGCTGTGCTCCTTACAGACTGTGCAAACTCCATCTAGGTTCATAAATGGCACCCACCACTATACTATTGCCCTCATTAATGCAATCATGCAAATAGAACTTCATGCTCAGGGGCCCGGGCAGTTAGAGCGCACACTGGAGAGCCTGGCAGACTGCAGCAACCATGTGCCTGCATAGGTGATGCAGGTTGTAGCTGCAGTGAGAATATTTCATAGCACTGGGTTCCCACCTGGTGCCTCTTTGGCTGCTGCTTTGCAGCCAGCAATTAACCAGGTCACCACCCAAACCCTCTGT